GTACTTCTTGTTTCCTTTCTTGTTCCAGTTGCTACTGGTGCTGGTTTTCTTGCCACTGCTGTAGTCTATCTTCTTGTTCATTTTCTTTCTCCTCCAACCACTGCTACAGTCTCTCTTCTTGTTTATTTTCTCGTTTCTTTTCTTTCTCCTCCAACCACTGCTGTAGTCTCTCTTCTTGTTTCTTTTGCTGTTCTTGTATGGCTGCCATCAAAGCTGCTAAGCTGTAGTTTGATTTGCCACTTCTCGTTTCTATCTTCTTTTTTTTCTGTCCCACTCTCTCTGACACCAATTTGTTAGTATCTGCTAGTTTGATAATTTCCAATAGAAATCATTTCCAAGGAACTTCAGTGATACAAGTCCTTTCTTGATTAAACCAGTTTACTCTTTCTCGATACAACTTTTTGTAATACACAGAATTTCCACAGTCACTTTAAACTTAACCTTTATAACACACACACACACACACACTATAAATCACAGTGATTCACACACTTTACTTACAGTGCCTACTGTTTGCTTGACTCAATTATCTATCCACCTATTGCTGGCCTCTCTGCCAGGCTTATATATTAAAAAGAGAGCATCTCGAGTAGACGGGCAAATTCATGATCCTTCGAGAAACTCCAGTGCGCATGCTCCCAGCGTCGCGTGACTTCCGCTGTCGTAACAGTATGTTATAATCCAAAGTTTTACATTATTCAAGTTTTGACTCCTTTGTTTCAAAATAAACCTTTAAAAAATACTTAAACTTCAGTTTTGTTGTCACGTGACACACAAATGTCAACAATTCTAAACTTATGGTTTCTGTAATTTCAAAACTACTAAACATAAACTTTACATCTAATGTCTAGACATAACCAAGTTTATTGCACTGTTTATATTTCCTGGTTTCAAATTTCTTAGTGTCAATTCCTAGAATAAAAAAATAAATTTGTCTAACATCTGACAGAAGCCATGCCCACTTTCTATGCTAAAACTTGAAAATTACAAGACATGTACTTAGTTAACATGCATGTTTACAACCATTAGAAAGAGCTCATTTTAAATTACTATCTCCCAATGTTTATTTACAAATTGGCACGTGGTATCAAATAACATGTACATCTTACCACTCTTAGCATTTTTGCTACTTTTATACTTGCCAGCACTTATATCATATTAGTTAGATAGTTAAATTGTATTCAAGTTTTATTTTTATATTCTAGTTAATTATAATGTTATGTTTTAAAATGCATATTTGAAATGTTTAATGGTTATTATTATTTTTTAATACAACTCGAACTTTACCTCAGTTAGTGAGGCTTAAAGAAGTACACAATATTGCTTATAGTGGCTTGTGACGTGTTGAGAAGAAGAATAAATGCTAAAGGATAGGAAAACAAAATAAAACATCAAAAATAAACTATATATATAAAAGCCAAGTGTTGATCAGTCAGTTAGTTGGTCATACTCGATTTCTCCAAATTTCACGAGTCCAATTCCATTTTTTTTATTCTATAATACTTCCTCTTTTCATTGCCCATTCCTTGAATTTAATTGCTAACATAGGCATGAATAGCTCCTAAATTTTGGGACTTTTCTGCTATACAAAAGCCTGTCAAGGAGGGAGTTCCCAGGATCAGATCAGGGATGGCATTATGTGAGTGACACCACATCATTATGAGGTCAAGCTAGGTAGGATCTGAATAGGAAAGCCAGGAAGACTCCCTTGATCAAAGTCATGGAAGTATGATAATGAGGAACCCACTTTTAAGAAAATAAGTTTTGAGATGGCTTGATTGGGTAATGAAAAAAACTGTTATAAATGTACGACATTTTGTCAAGATTTTGTCATCCTCAGGTACCTGTTAAAAATAAGTCAGAAATTGGTGTAAATATATGCTAGGGAATTATTACGAAAAAGCCTTTGTCAAAACAGACTGAAGATACCAATTATCCGTAGGGAAGAGGATGACTTTTCCTCATAAGAAGAACACGTGTGTATGCAATCATATGGTTATCTCACATTTTAATCTTTTATCAAAAGGTACCAATATGTAGCATGTGTGCTCAATTATATGTAGTGGATTTAGAAGTGGGAAAGGAAATTTTATGTCTCATTTATTTTATGTATTGCCAGTTTTATATGGAATATTTTTGGTTTCCAGTGATTTCCCATAATTTTTGATGGGCTTTTATGCGAGGTAAGAATATAATCAAAAGATCTTTTAAGATTATTCAACAACAAAAAATTTAAATGGTATGTACACTGTTGTATGTCTTAATTTTACACATTTCATTGCATTATACATTGATGATAATATCCACAGTTAGTAATATGGACAAGAGAGAGAGAAAAAAACAACAAAAAACATGATATTCAATTAGAAGATTCTACAGGTTAGGCAAATGATACTTGAAAACCGTAAGATGACCAAAAAATTTAATTGACACGAAAATCACCCTGCATTCAAACTACAAATAACTACAAGAAATAATCAAGTTTTTAGTAAAAATACTTGTATAAAAATAATCTCAACTTTTGTATACAAAATATTTGTATTCTTTAATAAAATCTTAACAATTGTAGTGAAGATACATTAAGAAAACTCAGCGTTATCGTATGTACCGCTGAACTGTATATTATTCTCCATACAAGTTATGTCCAATATACCTACTCATAGCCATAAGGTTAAAATGTTTCAAAAACAAATTATATTTTCTCACCATTTCCATGATCAAACATACTACTTGCATTCAAAATTCACTACAAGTGATTACAACTTAATGAATGACATCACATCACAATTTGACACTACATTTAGATTACAAATTTTACAACATTTAACATGACTTTCAGCAGCATTTTGTAAAATATGGTAAAGTAAATTCATTCTTGAATATATATAACATATTCAAGTAAATAATAAAAAGGATAAGATATAACGCTAACTTTGGCAAACAGTTTATAGGTGTACTTTGGCAAAATATTCTGTACTATTACATGAAAGTTATTCCCATTTAGTTTGTTGGAAAAAAAAAATTGATGGTGGTGTACACAATTAGACTATGTACATAATATATATATTTTTTTTTAATCAAACACTACAAAGGCAAAACAGTGATAGACTATTAGGTATATTTATATACAAACATACATAGTGTTTTTCTTTGTTGTTTTTTCAACAAACACTATGAAATCAAAACAGTGATATGCTATTAAGTATATTTAAATACAAACATACATAATGTTTTCTTTGTTGTTGTTTTTTTATCAAACACAATAAAATCAAAACAGTGATATGGTATTAGGTATATTTAAATACAAAATTGACAATTTCACTTAACTTTATACTTTATTAGTCAAAAACGATATTAATAAATTTATCAAGAACTACCAATCCAAATAAAATATACACTTGTACGTATATAATACTAAATAACATGTTTATTAACACTTTAAGCACAGGCTCGGTCCTTGGGACTGATCTCGTAACTATTTTGTGCTTGTTATTGTTTTCATGCTATTAACTTTTAAACTAGCATGTGTATTTTCACAAAATTTTGCAGATTAACAGTAAACATTACGAGGCTTTCGTATGCAAAATATCAGATTTTTTTAAATAATGTTTTTCTCATGCCTCTTTTCTTTTTACATGTAGACTATCCAAAATACAAAGTAATTTTGATTTTAAGATTTAAAATACTTTTATGCATCAGAAAATTTTTTAATTTCACATGCAAATCCTTTATAATGTCTAGATAATTATCAACCATTTTTTACGAAAAAAACTTTATATTTTATCCATTATTTTCACTAATGAATCTCTGTACAGGTTCAGTAGATTTGACCGATCTTGTACCCATCATAAAAAATAAGGAAATAAATATAAATGTTTCATTCTAGAATGACTACAAGTTATAACATGAAAACACAAATGTGTAGTCTAAAAACCTTAAATATCATAACATTATACATTTATATAGGTTTATTATATTGACCTTCCAGCTATGCCTGGCTAACATTACAGAAGTTGCAATGATGCAGTGCATGTGCAATCATCCTATGAAATTTTGAGCTCACTAAACAGACTTGCCAGCTTTGAAACTAGTATGAAAAGAATGAATCTGAAGCCCTAATACTTAAACAATGCTGAGAAAGCCACTAGGGGGACATTCTGAGCTTTCAATTGGTTATTAACATGTTATAGACAGAATTAAGAGTATATAAAGGAGCATTTCCAAAAATAGAAAGAAGCGAGTGGGGCCACTGCGTTTGAAACAGTACATAAGTGATATATCGGCAAATAGAAAAGATAGGAGTTCCTTATTTTATATTATAGCATATTAATATTGGTAATAAGAGTTCCTAATTTGTACAAAACTATAGACTTTGTATTTGGAAATCACAAACATCTAATTTGAACCAGTGCTGCATTCAACATATCATGCAACACACAAAATTATATTTAGGTCTTTTTTAATATTTCCTTTTAAGTTAAGAAATTAACTAATGTATAATACTAAAACTTGAATTATAATCTACAATTTAATACCAAATTTATAGAATAAATTCATAAAAGTTCAATAAAATTTCAAATGCAACTCAACAAACACAATGACATGACCTTTAACCTGTGTCGATAGGGTTAAATAGTAAGAAACTTTTTTTCCTCTATTTC